GGACAGCTTACTGCTATACGAGCTGTGTATAATAAAGCTAGCAAAGAAATAGGTCATAGAAGACCAGTTGCAGAACGGGAAGAAGTGGAACAGTCTACGCAGACTTCCCCAAATATATGGCCCAGCAAGAGAGAGCCCAAACGAAATATGGATGACAAAACAACCCCAAATGCCGACTCCAAAAAGGGCAAAACAAGCCCGTCCAGAAAATAAGCAAAAAAAACCTCATCTGCAGAAACTTCGGATAAGGCACCAAAAATTCTCAACAAAAACCCCAGGAGAGTATGCCAAAGCGATTCCAATCTGTAGAAGCTACTGGTAGCAGTCCAGATTCGGATAAGAAACGAACAAGTTGGACGGTGATAAAGAAGAAAAGGTATCCCAGACTACGTAAGTCAAGACCAGATACGATGATAATATCAGCCAAAAATGAAATCTCCTATTCTGATATTCTGAAGAAACTACGATCAGATCCCGAACTAAAAGATCTAGGTGAAGAAGTTAACAAAATTAGGAGAACCCGGAAAGGTGACCTACTTTTAGATTTAAAGACCGGAAGCAAAAACCTATCCGAGAGGTTTGATAAAAAAATCGAAACATCGTTAGAAGGATCAGTTGAAGTAAGAACACATATAGATGAGATGGTAATAGAATGCAAAGATATGGATGACATTACAACAAAACTGGAAATATGTCAATGCCTCTCAAAAGCATTAGAGATACCTAACCTGAAGGAAAGCAGTGTAAAGTCACTCCGAAAAACATATGGAGGAACACAGTCGGCCAAAATAAGCCTCCCAACAGAAATTGCAGTAAAAGCACTCAAGCTAAACAAAATAAAAATTGGCTGGTCCATCTGCCGCTTAAGAGAAGTTGTAACGCTCACCAAATGTTTTAAGTGCTTAGAATTTGGTCACATTTCAAGATTCTGCAAATCGGAGGTTGATAGGTCGAAACTTTGCCTAAAGTGTGGACTTGAGGGACATTTAGTTAAGGATTGTCATGCAGAACCAAGCTGTATGCTCTGTAAAGCAGATGGAAAGGGGGACCTAAAACACATAGCTGGAAGCTATAGATGCGCAATCTTCAAGGAGGCGTTAAGCACCAGATGTAAATGAAGTTTATCCAACTCAACTTAAACCACTGTAGTGCAGCACAAGAGCTTCTAAAACAGACAATTTGTGAAAAAAACATTGACGTTGCCTTAGTAAGCGAGCAATACAAAAACCTAGAAAGAAATATCTGGGAAAGAGATTCAGAAAGCAAAGCAGCGGTGTGGGCATGCGGAAGCAATGCAATAGAGAAAGGAATGAACCATTTAGAGCAACGCTTCGTCAAAGCAAAGATCGGTGGAATATTTATATACAGTTGCTATATATCTCCTAATATAGCACTAAATGATTTCGAAAAAATAATCGATAATTTAGTAAATGATGCGGCCCGACATCGTCCAACCGTTATTGGAGGGGATTTCAATGCCTAGGCAGTAGACTGGGGTAGCCAAAGAACGAACAATAAAGGCAGAATTCTTTTAGAAGCATTCTCTAGACTCGACGTGGTACTGGCAAATAATGGGGAAACGCATACATTTCGGAGAGCAGGTTATGGGTCAATAGTCGATATAACCTTCGTAAGCACAAGCCTAACAAAAAACATGCATTGGGAGGTGAGTGAACACTATACCCACAGCGATCATCAGGCACAATAAACGCCAATACACAATCGCGTTTAGCACACGGAAAATTCTAATTCCAAGGATGGGCGAAGGATAAGTTAGATGAAGATGTTTTTGCAGATACATTCTCTTGTCAAAGGATTGAAAATAGAGCGGTATCCGATATGGCCGAACAAATCGCAGCGGCGCTAAAAACGGCATCTATGCCTAGAAAAAGATCGAGTCAGAGAAGAAAAGAAAACTATTGGTGGAACGATAATATTGCGAAGATAAGAAGAGAATGCCTTAAAACAAGGAGAAAATATCAAAGAAGCAGAGGAAGGCCTGATTTTATTACAAACCGGAAAGCCTATCAAAAATCCAGAAAAGATATACAAGAAGCCATTAGACTCAGTAAAGCTGAATGCTTTAAACAACTATGCGACGAAGCCGATGCCAATCCATGGGGCAATGCATATCGAGTGGTAATGTCGAAGCTAAAGGGGAAAAAGTCCGCCCAAATAACGTGTTCCAAACTTATCAACGAAATAGTGTCCGTTCTATTTCCGGAAGGAGATCCATATTTTGACCTACAATTACCAATGCATGAAGACGTGACTGTAGTGACAGAGACAGAGATTGTAAAACTTTGTTCAAAAATCGGCGATAACAAAGCTCCAGGCTTAGACCTCATCCCTAACAGGGCCCTGAAAATGGCTCTTAAGATAAGACCAGAAATCTTCGCTAATCTGTTAACAGCTGCCTCAGAGAAGGAAAATTCCCAGACATCTGGAACAAACAAAGACTCATTCTGATACCAAAACCAGGAAAGACGCTAGGTGAACCACAAGCATATAGACCAATTTGTCTTCTTGATACAATTGGCAAATGCTTAGAACGCATTATATATACAAGGCTATCGGATGCCGTCGAACAAAGTGAAGGTCTTTCTAAGAGACAGTATGGCTTTAGAAAGGCAAAGTCAACAATCGACGCATTGAACTTTGTAATTGACTCTGCAAGGGAAGCAATTACAGCAAAAGGCAAGAACAGGAAATACTGTGCTATCATCACACTGGACGTAAAAAATGCTTTCAACTCTGCTGGTTGGAAACATATTATATCATCTTTACGATCAATTAATGTCCCGGAGTATTTAATAAATATAATTAAAGACTACTTCTCTAACAGAACATTGTGGTTTGAATCAGACGAAGGTACGGAATCGTACAATATCTCATCAGGAGTTCCCCAGGGATCGGTTCTAGGTCTGCTCCTATGGAATATTATGTACAACGGTATATTCAACCTAAAAATCCCAGAAGAAGCGACCTTGGTAGGATTTGCGGACGACATTGCAATTCTTATCAGAGCACGACAATTGGACGAGGTTCAACTATATGCAGACGAATCTGTCGAAACTATAAGAAACTGGATGAAAGTTATGAATCTACACCTGGCAGACCACAAGACAGAGGCCGTGCTCATAAGCGGAAAGAGAAAAAGAGAGACTCTCTCATTTACAGTAGGAACATCCGTAATTAAATCAGCCGAATCTCTTAAATATTTAGGCATAATGGTTGATGATAGGCTCAACTTCAAAAAACACGTTAACTACGCTTGCAATAAAGCAACAGCAGTAGCAAACGCCCTAGCAAGAATGATGCCAAACATTGGCGGACCCCGACAGAGCAGAAGAATTCTGATTTCTAGAGTAACGAATTCAGTTCTTCTTTATGGTGCACCAATATGGGAAAGTGCATTAACTAAAACAATATCGAAGGATATGATCTCCTGATATGAGAGTGTGTAGTGGCTTTCGTACAATCTCTGCAGCAAACGTAGTAGCAGGTATAATACCTATAGACCTAGCAGCCAGAGAACTATCGGCAATTTACGAAGAAAGACTTCGAAATCCAGATTTGACAAAGAAAGAAATAAGCAACATAGAAAGAGAAAAAACCATGACAGAATGGCAAAGGAGATGGGAAAGCTCAACTAAGGGACGTTGGACCTTCAAACTTATCCCAAACATCAGAGCATGGATAAATAGAAGACAAGGCGAACTAACTTTCCATATGACGCAATTCCTTACAGGACATGGAATCTACAGGAGCTATCTACACCGCTTTGGGCATGATAACTCACCAAGATGCCCAAAATGCCCAGAGGAAGATGAAACTGCGGAGCATGTAGTTTTTATTTGCCCCCAATTCTCAGAATTACGAACATGGTTAGAGTCATGCATAAGAGAAGAACTAAACACAGGAAACATAATCGGAATCATGATGGCGTCAGAACACAATTGGTTCATGGTAAACGCATATTTAACAGCCGTAAATAATGCATTGCGAGATGCAGAAATAACTCGAAAATTGCAGGATGAATCTCACACAATAACAAATGCAGTGAATTAAAGAATATCAGCTAAAAGGCTGACCACCCCGCGAAGTAGTACCTGGTGGTAGTTCCGCAGAGTGCGGTGTTGACGATGGAGGTGGTTTTAGTCGGTAGGAATCCGACATACCCAGTTTGGGACCTATGTAAGGTTTCCACCTCCACAATACAAAAAAAAAAAGATAGATAGATAGATAGATAGATAGATAGATAGATAGATAGATAGATAGATAGATAGATAGATAGATAGATAGATAGATAGATAGATAGATAGATAGATAGATAGATAGATAGATAGATAGATAGATAGATAGATAGATAGATAGATAGATAGATAGATAGATAGATAGATAGATAGATAGATAGATAGATAGATAGATAGATAGATAGATAGATAGATAGATAGATAGATAGATAGATAGATAGATAGATAGATAGATAGATAGATAGATAGATAGATAGATAGATAGATAGATAGATAGATAGATAGATAGATAGATAGATGTTTTTTATTCCAATGACAAAAACAATATAGGTATTCATTACTTATACAACATTGGCTATTGTTGTTATGCCAAAAATTAGTTATATTCCTGATGGTGACATGTCATAATGTCCAATATAAAAATATTCCTGAACTGTAAAATCTGTATGTTGCATTTTGGATTCCCTTAAAATGATATCTGCACAGTTGGCCTTCGAACGGATTCGCCAAAATAAACTTTTTTTGATGAAGTGTCATTAAGACAGACCAAAAAGTCTCTTACTGTTCATGAACATTAGGACCCATCAAGATTTTAAGGAAAAGCTTAATTTCGCGAAGCCGGTTTTCGAAATACATCAGATTTTAAAACACCCCTGTCCGACGTAACTTTCATACACATTATGACACTGGACATTGCCATAAAGAAACAGTTAATTAAAAATAAATAAAGAAATTAATCCTTACCGTATATATTATTAAGTTCGTTTTGATCCCCATCTTCACCGCCGCCACCACTTAGTACCTTAACGCCTCCACTGCTCGTTCCTATGCCTGAACGGGTTAGAACTTCAGCTTGGGCATCAATTTTGTTACTGGCATCAAAATTCATCATGTTAAAATTAAGACTATTATTACTATAACTTAAAATAATATTGTGTTCTAAAGAGTCTTTATTGTAGAGTACTATGTCACGGTGACAAGAGCTTTGTATTTGATAGTTATGCGATTGCAAATCACTATTTATAGGTTCGCAGTGACTATTAAAATGCATAAACCTTTGTTGTTTTTTGTAAAGCTTTTCCTGAAACTTCGAATAATTTTTTAGATTATTGCTTAAAATTTTATTTTCCGTTTCAACACGAGGTAAATCTTCTATCAGAAATGGTGGTTCACTACAAGAATCATCAAAATCACTGCAATCATCAGAGACATTTGCTGTTTGATCGTTGTCTTGTTGGTTATCAAAATACTCAACTCCGTGTGGATGCTGTAAACCATATAAGCTATCTGTATTAGGTCCACCCCTGAACGAAGATAAGGGCGCCTGACCGTTAGCAGCACTGGCTAAACTTACAGTTCCACCGCTTCCAGTCCCACAATCGTCCGTATAACTGCTACTTACTACAACACCAATACCAAAACCTTCATAAAGAGTGTTACTATTTTCCCCTGTGATATCACAGTTACAACTATTACTGCTGCTGCAACTACTACAGTAACTAAAACGTTTTTTGTTGGACTCAACTGCAGAATCGACTTCAGAATTTTGAGTTGGCGAACGTGGTTTATATTTCAAATGCTTTGGTGAGGAATTTGTAGTAGTGGCACAACAACTATTTGATGATTTTCTACTAGAGCTTCTTCTAAATGATTTAAGTCTTTTATGGTATTCACTCGATTCCAGAGATTCAAATTCTTCACAATAATTTGTTTCAAAATCGGTCTTGTCTTGGCCACTAAGAGGGTTCAAATCATTAGTCGCCGAATAATTTAAACATATATTAATGTGCGATTCATGAGGATCTTCCTTATGATTATTTGGATGTTGTTGCCTAAAATTGTTATCATTTAAAATTACAAAATGACGTTTTATATTATTGTTACTAAGTGTTTTTATTGGAGTTTTGATTTGTTGTTCCGAATGTAATGAATTGTTAAAAATTTGACATTTAACGTTTTTACTTAAAATTGAAGTATTTGCTCCTGTTGAATCCGGTGGTTTATTTGTTATCTCATTCCTGAATTGTGATAAAAATTTGTTACTTATTTCTTTGCTAAACGTTGAATTATCCAAAAAGGAGGGATCTAATTGTTTCGTACATGTTCTATCGTGCGACGGTATTTCATCGTCTGGAATTGATCCTTCTAGATACTGAAGGTGCTTGGAGCTAAGTTTGATCCCTCTTCTTTGTGCAGTGATTCATCAACATTGGTTTTCACAAACAGTTTCCGCTTTCGCAATGATTC